CTTGGTCAAAAGGCCACACCCAAGGACCTAGAAGGCCACACGTGGCCTTGAGATCACAGGTTCCCCACCCCTGCACTATACCATGTTGCTAAATCAATGTACCATGACTTATTCATACAGTCTCCAAATACTGTAGGTATAATATATTCCAAGTTTTTTGCTGTTTTTACTATTGCATAGAAGTAGCTATGAATATTTTTGTATATTTTGTTATTGTTCAGTTGTTTTAATTGCATCCTATTCTCCATAACGCCATTTGGGGTTTTCTTGGCACAGTACTGGAGTGGTTTGCCATTTCCTTCTCCAGTTCATTTTACAGATGAAGAAACTGAGACAAATAGGGTTAGGTGACTTGCCCAGCCCACAGCTTAGTAAGTGTCTGAGGCTGGATTTGAACTCATGAAGATGAGTCTTCCTGACTCCAGGCCCAGTGCTCCATGCCCTATGGCGCCACCTAGATGCCCCCATTCTTTTGTATATATAGATCCTTTTTTGCTTTTAAAGGATATTTTTAGGTTAAAATATTAGCAATGGAATCGCTGCATCAAGGGATAAAACCAGCATTTAAAAAAATGTATTATTGAATATTGCTCTCCAAAAAGGATCCACCAGTTTAAAGTCTAATCAACAATATATTTGAGGGCTAATTCCTTCAAAGTCATATTAACATTTAATTTTATTGCTTTTTGCTATCTTTGCCATTCTACTGGGTATCTCATGGAATCCCAAGTTTGTTTTGGTTTGTATTTTTCGGATTATACATTAATTTGTTGTGTAGTTATAAGAACTTTGTGTTTCCTCCATCAAAAATTATCTGGTCATGTCCTTTGATACACTCCACTGGGGAGTATTACTTTTATGGAGATATACATATACACATACATATACCTGAATATATATATGTGTATCTGTGTGAGTATGTATACATACACATACACGTATGTGTATACACACATATACACACACATATACACACACATATATACACATATCCTTCATAAATCTTGAATGCCAGACTTTTACTTGATATATTAACTGTAAATATTTTTTCTCAATTTCAGTTCTTTGAATTTTAAGGGTATTCTTTATTATCATACAACAATATTTTATCTTCGTATGATCAAACCCAGAAATTTTGTGTTAAATAATTTCTTCCATTTTTTGGATTGATAAATATGTTCTTCCTCTCCACAGTTGAAAAAAAGGTTTTTTTTCTAGTTTTAATTATTGTATCACTGATCCAATTAGGTATTGTGCTACACAATGCTGGTAGGTATGGATCAAAAGCCATTTTTCACCATCCAGCTATCTAATTTTCCCAACAGCTTTTATTAAATCATAATTGCATTCTCCTTTATTTCTAAGCATGGATTTATCAACAACTAACCTCATATATGAAGCAATGTCACCTCCAGAAATGAAGACCTGGCTTCAAGTCCCACCTTATAGTAGCTGTGTGTATCCCTGAGCAAGTAACCTCTCCATGTCCCCAGGAAATTCTCTAAGCCTCTAAACTGCTAAGGAGGGACCAAGTAGCATGGACGGGGGAGGGGGGGGGCCAGGAATTTCCCAATGGGAACTTTCCTATACTAATAAACATCTTATTCACACTGGGTTCTTTATTCTTCTCTATTTTTCTAGTTTTCTTATAGTACCAAACTTTTTAAAAGTTCACATTTATAAAATAACAAAAACAATATGATAACAACTAACACTTATATAATGTTTACTATGTGCCAGGTGAAGTGATAAGCACTTTCATATTATCGCATTTGATCCTCACAGCAGCCCTGGGAGGTAGATGCTATTACTGTTCTCATTTCACAATTGAGGAAACTGAGGCAAAAAGAGGTTAAGTGATGTGCCCAATGTCATTCAGCCAGTAAGTGCTGGATTTGAACTCAGGTCTTCTTGTCTCCATGTCTGCTGCTCTATTCACTGGGCCACCTAGCTGTCCCACTTGTAAAGCACTTTGAGGTTTACAAAGTACAGAGAGTGAAATATTATTATTATTAATTATTATTATTATTATTTATTATTATTCCAATTTTGCAAATGAGGACACTGAGACTCGAGGCACTTATGTAGTTATGTAGAGCAAGTATCTTGCTCTACATGATGCAGTTAGTAAGCACGGCAGCCTAGAAGTGAGTGTAGTTATCTTTACTCCAAAGATTGTGCCTTTTCTACCATATTACACTGCCTCTAAATCTGAAAGAGTCACTTACTGTTCCCTGGTTTTCTTTTTCATAGTCCTTTATATTTTTGCTCACCTACTTTTCTATATTAATTCTACTACAGCTTAATTCAATTCTATGAAACAGTCCATTGATATTTGAACTATTATTACACTGAACCTATAAATTAGTTTGGGAAGTACTGATACTTTCACTTTGACCTAAGCATGACCAAGGCATATTCCTCTCTTTTTTCAGTTCTTCCTTGGTTTCTATGATTATTGTTTTGGTAATAGCTCTTGCATGACTTTACAAGTTGTTGTATTTGAAAATACTTGATGCATTTTATTGTTATTATAAAGTTATTTCTCTCTGGGATAGTTTTCTTTTATTCTTGTTTGTGGCTAATAGCATTGCAGATTATATTTGTGGGTTTATCTCATATCCTGTTACCTTACTCAACTTGGCAAATTTGCTAAAATTCAAAGTTTTGGCATTGAAATCTGTTATCTGAAAATTCACTTGTGCAGAAAAAAAATGGATTTCCTCATACATTAGTCTTCTAGGTACAACTGAGAGACAGCAGGATGTAGTGGATAAAGAGCTGAATTCAGAGTCAGAAGACCTGGATCGAAGTGGTACCTTTCACATATATTGACTATATAAATCTAGTTAAATTACTTAACCAGTACCTCCATGTAACTCTCTAAGACTATAAGTTACAAAGCAGGGTGTTGGTAAAGGAAGTGTCTTCACTGGAAGTCCCAAATACCAATGACATCACAGGTCTGGTATTTAAAAAAATAAAGTAATAACAAAAAATCCAAACATTAATATGTGAAAGGTATTGGTTTTCTCAAATCTATTAATATTTCATTCATTTACAGAACTTTTAAAAAAAATACCTATTCTCTGGATGTTTTAGTTTTTCTGATCTTCAAAAATAAAAGGAAACAATTTTTTGAAAACTACTTTAGGGAAAAAGATAATAAAAATGGCACACTGAATGTTTTTCTGTTCTGTATGTGCGCAGAACAATCAGTAAGTCAGTCAATAAAACATTTATTAAATGCGTACTATGTACTGGGCACTGTGCTAAATGCTGGGGATACAAAGAATGGTAAAAGCCAGTCCCTAATCTGAAAGAGCTCATGGTTTAATGGAGGAGACAAGCATGCTAAAAACAGAGTAAACTAGAAATAATCAACAGAAGAAAGGCACCAGGAGTAAGGAGAATTGGGAAAGGCTTCCTGTAGAACAGTCAAGTGAAATTTGTAACTGCCATTCTGAAGTCCTGGGTAATCTTATCAGTTTTTTTTTTTTTTTTACTAAGTTACTTAATAATGAAAGAAAACCAGTCAAATCAATAACATGCACTCATCAGAGTATAGAGAGCACCATGTTATATATACCGAGGGATATAAGGCACAGCACCTGAACAATCGAAGTTTATTTTTAAGACAATATTATGTTTTTGTTATATGAAGCACCATATAAATGTGAATTAAGGTTTATAAAGCCCTTCCCCACAGTTCAATTCAATAAATATTTATTAAGCACCTACTATGTGTTAGGCACTATGCTACGAGCTGGGAGATACAAAAAGAAGTAAATGACAGTCCCTGCCCTCAAGGAGCTCACAATCTTGGGGGGGGAGAACAACATACCAACATATATACATCTATATCTATATCTATCTATACACACAGAAAGAAAATAAGCTATATACAGGATAAATAGAAAATAATCAAAAGAGGAAAAGCACTGGAAGTAAGAAGGGTTAAGGAAAGCTTTTTGTGCACTAGTACAATTCACAAAAATGTTGCCCGTGATTTCAGGAATAATGTTCTGTTTTCTGATAATATAGATATCAATGACATGGGAGTAAGAAGAAGGTGGCATCTGTGAGTCATTTAAAAAGTTTTCAATAGGGTCATGCCTCAGGCAAAACTAGACCTCTAACTTGTGTTCAGAAGCCTACCCTCTTCTGTGGCCAGCTGGGACTTAAAACCCTTCCAACTCAGAAGGACTTTGGTGAAGCTTGAAATCCAGAGAGAGAGTGTGGTTTACTGAAAAGGAAGACAAAGGATCGAGATTCCAATTCTAACTCAACTACTCTATGTGTGACCTCAGACAAGTAATTTACCCCCCTCCCCCTTAGACCCTGGTTTCCTCATCTGTAACTACATTACCTTTGAGGTCCCTTCCAGATCTGAATCTGTGATCAAATGACCCAGTTACCTAAAGTTCCCCTCAATTCACAGAGAAAATGGATCAAGTGAATTAATTAATGGGGAAGTCTAAGTGACTTAATGCATGCCAATCCCTATCCCAAATGTCTTTATTTTAGAAAAGAACTTCAGGGAGAGGTTATGTGTTAAAACAAATAAATTCTTTCTATGGAGCGCTAAAATCTAGGAAATTGCAGCATTTCAAGGAGCAGAGGAGAGAGAAATTTTGGCAGTATCTTCTTTATGCCCACTTTGCCTGGCACATCCCACAGGCTCCAGAGTTTTCAGACCTATGCATAAAGTCAGTCCTGGTTTCAAGTATCATCTGCTCAAAGGTGAATAACTACCATAATAAGCACTATTTTGTGTGTACATGTATGTATGTGTGTGTGTGTGTGATCGCAATAAATTACACTACTAAAGACCAGGTCACATGGTGTAATTTGTAACCCAACTGGAAATAGTTCCTGGCATGCCCAGGACGTGTTCCTGACTTGTCTAAGATTTAAAAACAAGCCAAGTGCGCTTTCCCACTGAGGCATTCATAGAACAGACTTTGCCTTCCAACAAGGAGAGCCAGGAGTGCGCCTACCTTTTTTGGGACTGGATCTCCCCAGCGATCCCGCCTCTTTTTTTTCCAAGGCTGTTTCTCTCTCTTTCCACCTGCGGATCTGCTCCTCCCTCATCTTGAAGAACAGGATTTGCTTCTGCTCTTCGTTGAGCTCGGCCAGCAGTTCAGGATCGATGTACATTTCTGACAGTATCTGCTTCAGCATGACGGCAGCTCCCAGACGCTCCTACCCTTGTGGCAAGGAGTCTTTGAGAATGGCCTTCAGACTTGGTCTCTTCCTAAGCAGGTATTCGTGGAACGCCCCAAAGCTTGCACGTGAGACACACATACACACACGCTGGGATACCAGCAATGCAGGTATGCCCTGAGTCAGGGAAGCTGGTCTCTGCAGCTAGGCACCATCCACTTGTTCAATGTGTCCGTCATTCGACCTACAAAACACCAGAAAGGAGGCAGGCCACTTAAACCCCATTATTACAAATTACGGAAGTCACACGAACAGGTTTGTAAAGAAAATAAGGCTTGGGGGACTACAAGGAAAAGAAAGCTGAGGCAAGTTTGGAGAGTTAGTGTTACCTTTATCCTTCTGATTTCTAGAGATACTGTATCAAACAAATTCACTCCATACCAGTTGATCCCAGGAAAACATTTTTAAAAAAATTAAACAGAGGTGTGGCTTACTCTTCACTGAGTAAACATTCAGAGGCAAACCAGTCAAGTATTTGGTTGACTCATAAACAAAAAAGTTAGAGAAAGAAAGTAAAACGAGCTAAGTTCCAAATGATTTATTTAAAAAACAAGTAATTGTTCTGTGCTTCCATTAAAGCATGTTTCTTTCAAGTTATTCCCAAGGTTGATCTGTCTTAATCCTCAGAGAAGAAGGAATAAAAACTAAATGGTAAGAAGCCATTTTTTATTCTTCAGAGGTGATACTAAATTCCCCAGGGGTGATACTAAATAACAAATATGTTAATATGTTATTTATGGAAGGAATGGTTTAATTCCCACACTGACCCACTGAAGAGATGAAAACATCACAGGTGTTAAGGGAAATATTTCCATTCTTTTGTTTTCAAAAGATTTGGCAATTACAAATTTTAATTCGTGCTGAGTCACTCTTTCACATCTATTTACACAAGCAGTCATCCAGAGTTCAGAGTTACTATAGGCTAATCAGCACAGGCATGGTGGTGAGCCTTTTCAAAAGCTGACACCTTTGATTATCATTTTAGGGGAACACCTCCAAATGTCCTATTTCTCTAGCTTTTTTTTTAACTTTTTAAATTAAGTTTTATCTTTTATTTTTACATCACCTGCATTTCTCCCTATCTCCTTCTCCCACTTCCTTACAGAGGGCCATCTCTTATAACAAAGAATTTAAAAAGTAAAAGAGAAAAAAATCAGCAAAACCAGTTATTATACTGGAAAAGGTATGAGGCCATATGCCGTGTTCTACACCCAGTGCTCATTGACCTGTAGAGATGCACCCCCACCTTTGCAAGGTTAAGGGGAGGGGTGTGATCTTTTCATATCTCTTCTCTGTGGCCAAGACAGATCACTATAATTTTACAACATTCAGGTGTCACCACTTTGTTGTTGTTGTTTTTTTCATTTACTTGTTATAGTCATTGTATATATTGCTTTTATGGCTCTACTTCAACTTTGTATCAGCTCACATGTCTTGCAAATTTGTTATTTCTTAAGGCAGAGTAAAATTCCATTAAATTCATGTGTCACAGTTTGTTTAGCTGGTCTTCAATTGATGGGCATCCAGTTTGTTCCAATTCTTTGCTATCACAAAAAAAAATACTACTGTACTATAAATATTTTGGTATATATGAAGCCTTTAAAAACATGAACTTCTTGGGGGCAGCTAGGTGGCGCAGTGGATAGAGCAACAGCCCTAAAGTCAGGAGGACCTGAGTTCAAATGAGAACTCAGACCAAACACTTGACACTTACTACCTGTGTGACCCTGGGCAAGTCACTTAACACCAACTGCCTAAAAATTAAAAAAAAAAGATTACAAAAAACATACTTTTAAAAAATAAATAAACTTCTTAGGGCTATGTGACTAGCAGTGGAATAGTTGGGTCAAAAGGTATAAACATTTTAGACTTTATTTGTAGGATTCCAAACTGCTTTCCAGAATGGTTATACCAATGTGCAGCTCCACCAGCAATGTATCAGTATCCATCTCTTTCCACAACCCTTCTGACACTATCCCCATCTTTAGTCATCTTTGCCAGTTTGCTGGGTGTGAGGTGAAATCTTAGGTTATTTTGATTAATATTTCTCTTATTAATTATTTGGAATATTCTATCCTAGGTCTGATAGATGTTAGTTGTCCACAATTCTTCCTTTGAGAAATATGTTTATATTATTTGGCCACTTGTCTATTAGAGATTTCTGGAACTTTCATATCAAGTTTAACAACAAGCTTATATAAACCATTGAATGCCAAAGTTCCCTTTGTATTGCTATAGTATTTTTTGTTTTAAAATTTTTTTGATACTTTTTTTAACATCGAGGTCACTTCCTAATGACTTTCCATCCCCAAGAATATTCCTTTGTAACAAAGAAATATAATTAAACAAAACAAATCAAGCTATTGGCCATGCATGTCTAACAACATATGCCTCCTCCCCCACCTATAGTATATCATTTCTCAGTAGAGAGGATAGGAGGCATGCTTTGCCATGATTCCTCTCAAATCATTGTTGATGCATTGATCAGAGTTCTGCTGTCCTTCAGCCTAGTAAACATTTATTCTTGAGAATGAACAGGGTATAGGGGAGCCCCACCTCAAGATATACCCTACAGGGTATATGCAATATAGAAAAATTTGAACTTAGAAAAATCAACGAGAGAACAGTAGCCATGATTTGCTAGGGATAGGGACTGAGACTGTGATTTCATTGGTGCATAGAGAATTTCTGAGTTGGAAAACTCCCTTTCCCCAATGCAGGCCAGCACTTTCTCTGTAATTCACAGTCTTAGAGAGTTGCCTAGAGCAACGAAGGGTTTAGTGATTTGCTCAAAATAACACGGCTGATAACGTGTGAGAGTCAGGACTTGAACATAGGTTTTCCTGGCTTCAAGACCCACTCTCTGCCCATTAGCCCACACTGCCTATTTAAGCTAGAATTGCTTGCTTTACTGCTGGGTCCTGGAAATGATGAGGTCCCTTAGTTTATGCCCCTCAAAATATATTACCTTCCCCAAAAAAGCCCAACAACTGGCGAATTTTCAGAAATACTCAGGTTCCCTGCAGTGAGTCACACCTGTACAGTACACAAGGACCTTTTCAGTCATTACAAAGATCACAGGATTTGGAGCTGTGACTCAGAGTTCATTTAGTCCAACCCCAGAATTTTACAGATGAGGCAACTGAGACCCAGAGATAGCAGGTGACTTGTCCAAAGTCACGATGCCAAAATTATTTAACAGAACTGAAATCAGAATCCATGTTCTATGATTTCCAACCCATTGCAAGATACAGGCACTTCTGACAAAGGCAGACTTGGATGACCCTTTTTAAAGTCCAGGCCTTTTATTTCTTGTTTACAAGGGTCTAATAGGGAAAAAAAATACACTGCTGATTACTACAATAACAACAACAACATAATCATAATAATAGATACAAATACAGCATTTTACAGTTTATGGAAGTGCTTTATATGTAATGGATATCTTAAAAGTCTTAAGCTGAAGCCTTTGGGGACACTTGAATTAAATTACTTGAGTCTCATAATATTCCCTTCGAGGCTGGTACTCCAGGTATTATTATCTGTATTTTACAGATGAGAAAACCGAGGATCAGAATGGTTAAAAGACTTGCCAATAGTCAAATCCCTATTTAAGAAAGAAAGTATGGGAACCCAGGTCTCCCTTATTCTAAATACAGCACCCTATTATACCTTGTTGCTCCTCCAACTTACGGTGGGGGCAGGAAGCTGAAAGGGAATAGCAACTATTGCAAATTATGGTAATAATAGTCGATATATCTAGGGTTCTTTATACTTTTTTTTTAAAAAAAACTGTCACATATATTATCTCATTTGTGTCTCTCAATCAGATAAAGTATATTATCCTTATATTTAAATGGAGAAAATGGACACAAAGAGGTTAGGTGGGAAGTCACACAGTCTGGTTAATTAAAGCTAGGACTAGAATGAACACATTTTGACTTTACGGTCTTTACAATCTATAACTACTCTCTGCTAAGCCAATTTCCCCTTCTGCAAGAAGCCTTGCCTAACCCCCCATTCCCCCTGAATGCTAGTGCCTTCCCTCACTTGATTATCTCTAGCATATTCTGCATATATTTTGTATTTACATTGTTAGTTGCATCTTGAATCCTTCATTGGACTGTGAGCTCTTCCCGAGCAGGGATTTTGTGTTTTATTTTTTCGTAACCCCAAGGCTTAGCACAGTACCTTTAGGTACTTAATAAATGCTTATTAACTGACTTCAGTTTCTATCCTCATATTGGGTGTATGCTGTGCTTTTTCTGGCCAGTCAAACTACAAGCCATAATCATGCAGTTTGTCTTTTACTAGTAGAATCGTCAGCAACTAGGTGGTGCAGCACATAGAGTACTGATCCTGGAGTCAGGAAGGTCTGAGTTCAAATCTCCTTCAAGAAATTTACTATCTGTGTGACCCTGAGCAAATCACTGAATCTCTGTGAGCCTCAGTTTCCTCATTTGTAAAATGGAGATAATAACAACACCTGCCTCCCAGGATTGTTTTGAGGATCAAATGAGATAATACATATAGAGTGTTTTGCAAAACTCAAAGTTATATGTAAAGTTAATCATCATCATCATCATCCCATCATCCCACTGGCAAAAGGCTCATAGACTGAAATATATTCAACAGACAAGGTACATTGGAAAGAAAGCTGGATTTGGAGACAACGGCTGTGGGTTTGAATCTTACCTCTGCCACTACTTAGCTGTGTGACCTTAAGCAAGTCATTTAATTTCTACAAGTCTCAGTTTCCCTATCTGTAAAGTTAGGGGGTTGGATTTGATGACCTCTAGATCCTTCAGTGCTCTGAATGTATGATACTATAACAAGTACCTTGTGCTAGGAGTGTGTAGAGAGAAACCAGTGAAAATTTCAGCAGGGCATCCATACTTATTGCTTTACATATACTCATATTACATACATATAGTCAGAAAAATACAGTCACTTATCTGAAGCCTGCCTTTTCCTCTCTAATTTTACAGATTTCTAAATTCCCTTGTCCCAGTTTCAATTATCTTCTACTTTGCTCATTCATTTGTTCACTCATTCATTTAACATTCATTAACCTTGGTGCTGGAAGAGACTGAAAGATAATTAAGATTGGGATTCTGTTTCTTACATCAACTCCTTCCATTCAAATTTGATCTATCCAAATAATTTTTCCTTTTAAGTTTTTTTTGGGGGGGGTGGGGGAGGAGTCTGAGCCTGTGATTTTTGTCTACATAGGGAACTCTTTTGCATGAAGTCCATCCATTGTTCCAGCTATCTTTTTTAATACCATAATAATAATACCATAGGCTTACACATTTCTCCCAGGGATTTCAAAAGACACATTTGTTCTTATAGCTGTCTTATGAATAATGTGCATTATACAAATGATTCACTAAATGACCCTAGATAAATTACTTTAATTCTTTGTGTCTTAGTCTCTCCATTTATTAATAAAATGTAATCTCTATCTTTTCCGTAAGACATAAGACAATCAGGAAGAGAGAACAATTATAAGATTTTTAAAATAGTTTCACACACTAGCTGTGTGACCTTAGACAAGTCACTTAACAGACATCTCAGGCTCTCCATTTTCTCAAAGGTCAAATGAGGGCATTTATTAAGTACCTCCTGTGATTGACACTGTGGGATGTAGGTTCTCGAATCAGAAAAGGTAGCATGGAGTAAGACAAAGAACACTGCCTCTGATTCTACCTACCTATGTGACCTCAAACAGATTATAAAATTTAAAAAATACTTTAAAAATATTCCTAGCTATGTCCATAGACAAGCCATTTAACAAAATCTTTCAAAGTTTTAGGCAGCACAGGCAGTGGATAGAGTGGTGGGCCTGGAAGCAGGAAGACTCATTGTTCTGAGTTCAAATCTAGCCTCAGACATTTACTATCTAGGTGACCCTGGACAAGTTACTTAACCCTGTTTGCCTCAGTTACCTCATCTATAAAATGAGCTGGAGAAGGCAATGGCAAACCACTCCAGTATCTTTGCTGAAAAAACCCCAAATGGGGTCATGAAGAGTCGGATAAGACGGAAAAACTACTGAACAACAACAACAACAAAATTCAAGGTTTCATTTTCCTTCTCTGCAAAATGACCTGGTCAAACTAGATGATTTCCAAGGCCCCTTTCTGCTCTAAAATTCTGTATGCTATGAAATAGCTGGAGAACAGCATTTAACTTATATAGTATATACCAAATACTTGAGGTAAGGAGAGAAGTTTAAAAATAAGGAAACAGACCTGTGATTAACAAGAGGTTTTCCCCACTCTGATTTCCTGACCCACTGAAGTACTTTGCCAATGCTTCCAGTTAGGGAGTTGGAAGGTGACCTTGGGCCCTGGAATGCCACAGTCATGTAGCTTAAGTTTTGGCAGATCATAGCAAGGTGGGAATGCTTCAAGTATAGCCAGCAGAGGCCTGAGTGTCTGCAGCCTAACCATCTGAAACCAAGTGTCTTCTCTTAGCCACAGTAATTCATAAAGAAAGTAGACTACCCACACTCAGGAACTCACAGATCTTTTTAAGGATTAGGGTCAATTCATAGACCAGGAACCAAGTCAAAGCAGATAGAGACGTTAATTCAAACCCTCCCCCCCCCAACTTTTCTCCCTTTTTCAGGATTTTAATTTTTTGTTATCCTGCATTTGACAGATACCACAAACATTTCCATATGCAAGAAACAAAGATTGTCCCTGAAACTGCCTATTACATACAACTTGTTTGCTCCCTTCTTCCCCCACATACCTCTTTCTTCTTTTTTTCTTTTTGACCTTGTTTTTTTTAAATTTATTTTAAATTTGTGGAATAAAACAAGCATTTCCATAACATAGTACAATAAAAAAGCTGAATGCACATGAAACTGCAAATCTATTATGCACAATTTGCTATTCCTTTCAAATATACAACAAAATTATCATAAATTTCTTTCTTTTTTTTCCTCCCTCCTCCCCATGGCTACCATTAGACAAATACACACACACACACACACACACACTTATTCTATACATATTTCTATTTATCAGTTCTTTCTCTGAATGCACATAGTATCTTTCTTCATATGTCCTTTATAACACACACCTTTCTAATACAAGTTTTTACCTGTAACACTAAGAACACAGCCAAGCTACCTACTTGACTGTTGTGAGGAAAGTGCAGACTTTAAATCGAGGTAGTCTAGTTTATGGATGGGAAGTCATCCAAGGATTTGGGAAAATCTGGGTTCAGGTCCCTCCTCTGACACATACTGGCTTGTGTACCCAGGTAAGACATATAACCTCTCAGTACAATCCTCTAGGACAAGCGGCCTCTCTCCCCCAGCGCACCCTGCCGTGACCTCCTCGCCAGCTCCCGAGATTAGGAAAGGCCTCACGCTGCCTGCCTGGGGCCACTGGCTTTGCTGGGCATTCCGCCCACGGCACGGCTAACAAGGGACTTGGCCCCAGGCCTGAAAACACCGCCCACTACCCGCTGGCCCAGTCTGCCAGCCGCCCATCAATTCGCACAAGTTCTCCGTCCCCTGGGCCGCCCACGCTGGGCTGCTGGGCCCTCGGGCACACTCGGTGCCAGGGCACTGGGGCACAGCAAGGGACTGGCCTTTGTCTGAGAGAGTGTTTCATGCGTGTCGAGCTTGGAGCCCTCCCTAAAAGCAATCCGAGAGGCACCAGGGAAAGTGCAGGAAGCGCGAGTGTTATAGGATCTAGGGATAGAAAAGATCTTTAGAGATCATCTAATCCTGAACCGTCATTTTACAGATGAGGCAACTGAGGTCCTCCACAGAGGAAAAGGGACTTGTTCAACTTCACACAAGTGATAAATTGCGACTTATCACCCGGCAAAATACGAACCCAGAACTCACTCCCCAGGGCTGCAAATCCACCGCGCTGCTTTCACCGATTGGGGCTGCGTGTATGTGCTTATGCCCGGCTGGAGAGTGGGGTAAGAGGCAGGTGAGAGGTGGCGCCTAACAAGTGGATGAATGTATGCGCGTTTCCGGGAGCCACCGGAGTAGATGTGCCTCGGTGCGCCTCTAGGCGCCCGTGTGTCCGGGTCGGTTCTCAGGCTGCTTCTCTCCGCCCCAGCCCAGAGATTTTCTAACACCACAGGTTCTCTCCCGCTGGTCCTGGGAAAAGTTGAGCCAACTTGGAGCGGCGCTGGCTCCCAGCACATGAGTATGCACACACACACACACACACACACACACACGCACGCACGCACGCACGCACTAACCCAGAGTTACACCAGAGTCACTCTTGTAGGCTGGATCCCCGGACTGCTTCAGAAGTCTCCTCCAACCCTTTCCTCCAGGTTTCCACTCCTCCTCTTGCAGGCGCCAACCGCCACTCCCCGCCCCTCTTCCCCCCCCATCCATCAGGACCTGTTGCTCACAAAGCCTGCCTGCCTGCGGCGGCGGACACCAGACACCAAATATCAGACATCGGACACCTGTCCGCCAGCCACATCCTGCCCCAGCCTTCACCACACACCTGAGCTAGTCCAAGCGCCAGCACCTGGGGGCGGGAAGGGAGGGAATGGAAAGGAGGGTGGAGGTGCAGAAGAGGGGGAGAGTGGGGCTAGCCCTGGACCCAGACTTCTCCCATCTAGTGCCCTTCTCACCTCGCCTCACCTCACTGGGTCCCACCCAGATCTCTGCCAAAGGCAGGAAGCTAAGCCCGCTTCCTTCCCTCAGCCTCAAGTCCAAGGCAGCCTTCTCTTCCGATTTCATTTCCCCTCCCCCAGCCACAAGCACAGAACTTTTAGACTCATTCCCAAGAACGCTCCTTTGCTTGCCACCGCATCAAAGCCTACCCCCGGTTACTTCACCTCCCCAACCTGTTCCACTCTCTTTCTCCCCTCTCCGACCTCCCAGTCCCCTCTCTTTCCACCCCCAGCCCCACCTGTTATCCCGAACTCACCTGCGCAAGGACGACCCAAATACCTATGCCTTTCAGTTTGGGCTGTCCGAGGAATGGCGACTTTAGGAGAGGGGAAGAGACCGGCAGCGGCGGATAGAGTTTGGCAGGATCAATGTTATTAAACTCAAAAAACTGAACAAGCTAAAACCCTCCCTGAGTGCGTCTCCCCAGACCGGGTCACACACACCCAGATGACTTGAAGCTCGGCAGCCCCACCCCTGCCTCTTGAAAAGTCACAAACTGCTGGAGCAGACAAGTTGCCTCTGCGCTGCTGAGTCCTAGGTATCTGGCTTTGAATCACCGCTGACCCCAATGCTGCAACCTCAGTGCTTTTGATCTGAAAGGAGCAAGGAGAACCTTTCCCCTGCTTCCAAAACTAGCAAATTAATGGTGTCCTCTGACAGTCACTCCTTTAGGTCTCTATGATGTGGTTACTTGCCTTACTATTTTCCTGTACCTAAGACACTTATTTACATCTGTGGTAGTCCTTCATGCATTCCAGACCTCCTGATTTCATGAAAGTTAGGGACAATGGTGCAATGAATCGAGTTCTGGACTTAGGAGTCAGGAAGACAGCTCAAATTCTGCTTCAGATATTAACTTTGTGACCCTAAACAAGTCTCTTAAACTTTCTCAGTCTCAGTTTCCTCTCTTGCAAAATGGGGGTGATAGCACCTGCTTCAATGGTTAGTTGTGACGATCAAATAAAATAATATTAGCAAAGCACTTTGCAAACGTTAAAGTTATCTAAGTGCTGTTGTTAAGGGTAGCGGCTCAAACAGGACCTTTCTGAGCTTTGACTGATTCAGTAAGCTTTTAAAATCACGTTAGTCTCTTCAGTTTTGCTCTAAATGTCCTAAATGTTGACTATTTGCTTTTATTCTGCCCCTTGTCAATTACCAAAAGCCATAAAGGTATGATTTTAAAGACAGGCTTAGAACCTAGAGGAGAAAAAAAATAAAAAAAAAATTAAAAGAACCAGAAAGGATGGGATGTGAAGAAAAGGAAAACAATTGAGAAAATATTTTCACTTCATTTCCTTATATCTTGTTCTGTCAACCAATGAACAAGACATTGTAGAATCAGAATTCTAGAATCTCAGGATTGAAAGTGATAGCAGAGGGATCTAGGTCAATCCTTACTGAAAGCATGAATATCTCTCCTCTGAATAAATAGTCATGCTTTCAAGATTTCAAGTAACCTCTTCCAATGAAGGGAATACACAATATTATCATTATCCAATCCAATCCCACAAACACTAATTTATGATACAGTGGAAACAGTACTGCCCATAGATTCAGAGGGCCTGGATTCAAATGTCACATGACCTGGGTAATCTTGGACAAGTCCCCTGCCTTCTCTAGGCCTCTGTTTTCTCATCTGTTAAATGAGGTTAGCCTAAATTGTCCCTGAGGTCCAGCTCTAGACCTGTGATCCCCATGTATGTAAGCACCTACTACATCATTCTGCTCACTAAATTTCAATGGCTCCTGGTGGTTCTAGGACCAGCCACAGATTCCTTTGTTTGATCTTTAAAATCCTTCACAGCCTTGCTCAAATCTACTCTTTATTCAACACTCCCCTTTAATGCAGTCTACAATTCAGCCAGGCTGTCTTACTTTTCACACACTGTCTTGAACTGAAGGTATGTGTGTGTGGTTAGTATTTCTTCTTGATTGCAAGGACTATCTGGTACAACTTTATATACTGCAAAGCACCTGGTGCATTATATGTCCAATGAAAGACCATGAAAACCCAACTGTCAAAGTGAATCATAAGCAATTTACCTTAGAACTTTCTAAGTCCTTCTCTTTCTTTCTCTTCTTCTCTTCCTTTCCTTCCTTCTCTTCCAATATTTCTCTCCCCCCTTTTTATCTCTCCTTCCCCCTTTTATTGCCTCTTTTCTCTCTTCCCTCCACCTTATTTCTCTCATCCCTCCTTTTTGTTCCATTTCCCCTATTCCCAGCAATGCTCCCTTAACTAGACATAACTATGGTATCGGCTGTTGGGTTATTTTTTTTTTTTGAAGTTTTATATGTGTGTAATACCTTGCTACAATAATTAGCTTATTTTAAGGTGAGGGATAATACAGTTGTCCTTGGGTCCATATGGTTCCTTCCTCTGATGCTTTAGGGAGTTTAAACAGAAAGTTAGGACTACAATTACAATCACTCCAAGCCCCCAGGAGAAGATTGGATCGCTGCCTTAATTTATAATTAGGTTTATCTCTAATCCCCTGGACTCTTTGTGGTTGAGACAAAATTCATGTTATTGGAAACATCTGTGTAAAGAAGAAAAAGAGTACATTATGATGTCTTTTTAAAATTTACATTTAATTTTTTCCCTCAATTACATTTAAACAAAATTGTTTTTAACATTTGACAGTGTCTATTAATAGATAAGTACCAGAAGGGGAAGTTGGGAAAAGAGCTGACCTTTTTTTAAAACTTCTTTTAGTCTTTGAGAAGGGAGGCATCAGCCCAAGTTTTGTGCTCTGAGATCCTATAGGGCCAAGTGGCCCTCCTCTATCTCTCTCTTCTCCACCAGAGTTCAGTCCTACTTTCTTTCTCCTTTCATGTGTTGCCCCTTTGCTGCCAATTCTTTCTAGCTCAGTTCTTGATGTCTCAACTCCCTCCACTCTCCCACACCCTTGAGTCAAGGGCTTTGACACTTTGAGGAGCTGAATTCCTTCCTGCATTTATATAAGCTCCTTGGCATGGCCAAGCCCTTCACCCACTCAGCATAGACTTTCTTTGCATCAAATTGAAAGATCATCTATTCTCTCTAAGGGGAATGTCTAGGTCTTGTTCACACTTAGTTCTAATTGATTGAACTGAGAACTGTTCTTATCTAACAAAGGCAACCCACTTTTAAGTGGGGAGAGGTAATCCATGGACCCCCTTTTGTAATTTTTTTAAGTTAAGTGATTTTGAACCCCTTATATTGCTCTAAGTGAAAAAAATAAAAATAAATAAAATTGTCTTTTGTGCAACCTTCAATTTTCTCATGTGTACCCACCACCCTACCCAACATGAGCCTCCACCCAGTGGCCCTAGATGGAAAAAAATTTCCCTACTCTTAATGGGAAAAGAACATATTTTCCCAGAGGGAGAAAAAGCTGAAGTGGTGTATTAGGGTCTATAGAAGATCATTTCTAGGCAGTTGGGCCTTTGGGGATCAGAAAAGAAGGAAGGTGAGTCACAGTAGGGCTTCCATTGCTTTGTGGTCTTCCTCACCCAGTGCTTAGCACAGCGTCTGGCACATTTTGTTGTTGTTCAGTTGTGTCTGACTCTTTGTGACCTCTCTTTGGGGTTTTCTTGGCAGAGATACTGGAGTGGTTTGCCATTCCTTCTCCAGCTCATTTTACAGATGAAGAAACTGAGGCAAACAGGGTTAAGTGACTTGCCCAGAGTCATACAGCTAGTGTGTGTCTGAGGCTGGATTTGAACTCAGGTTTTCCTGACTCCAGGCCCAGCGCTCTATCCACTATGCCACTTAGTTGCCCTGCCCTATCAAATAGTAGGCATTTAAATAAATGTTTGTTGACTGTACCTCCAATATCCAAAAGAAGAAAATTCAATTGCCATGTATTTGAATTTATGAAAACCACGGAAAAACAAAAACTTTAAAAGAGAAAAAACTACTTTAACTTTTGTCTTTCTATATTTAAAGTTTCTAAAGCATCTCAAAAAGACCAGTGAATCATTTTATTCACATTTGCATAAAAAAACCCAATCTATTTTCCAGCCTTATTATCTATTACTCTCTCCTTTCCTGCATTCAAAAGTTCAACCACATTTCCCTTCTTGCTCTTCCTCACCAAAAGATACTCTCCTCTTTCTGTTCCTTTGCCCTATCTCCCCTTCCCCACCCCCATTCCTCCGCACCTCTATCTGTTATAATCCTTTGTTTCTTTTAAGACTCATAAAAGCTTTCCAGATTCTCCAAGGTCCTAGTACCCTTTTTCCCAAAATTTTCTTGTATTATCTTGTATTGGAGACAGCTGGTGGCACAGTGGATGGGCCTGGAGTCAGGAAGATCTGAGTGTTTACTAGCTGTGTGACCCTAGACGAGTAACCTAACCTCTGTTTGCCTCAGTTTTCTCAACTATAAAATAGGGATACATAATAGCACCTGCCTCCCAGGGTTGTTCTGGGAAGTAAATAATATTTATAAAAACCACATAGAACAGTACCTGGCACATAGTAGGTGCTATATAAATGCTT